GGTTCGACATCGGGCGAAGGAGGTAGTGGGAAACGTCTCAAATATACAATTCCTCATTTAAAGCGTTCAATATGACAAGTCGTAGCATAAAAAATAGGAAGAATGACAAAAGTGGAGTTAGGAGTGATATGAGCCTAGAAGAAATATTGGTTTTCAAAGAGAACCACATTTCGAGAAATGCGTAACTTATTAGTGTTCTCATCGTAACACACAAACCCTCCCATGGACAAACACTTAGCCAATTAAGCAGTAAGCTTGTGATGTTCAGTGGGTGGTAAATGAACAAAACAGATACAACCAAAAGTGTGTAAATAATGGTAGTCAGGAACATGACCAAACAAGCGAAAGCAAAGTGTCAAAGTCCAAAGTGGAGGAAGGCAATCTGTTAATCAAATATACAGCCATAGATAATGCTTCGACCTAAAACTTAGAAAGCACAAATGAATCAATCATTAACGTACGGACATCTGGAATCTAATATATGACGATTCTTACATTTTGCACCATTCTGTTGGGGAGCATAAGAACAAGAGCTTTGAGGAAGAATTCATTTAGTTTGGAGAAAGTCCTAAAATTCTTTGGACATATATTCTCCCTGGAGTCGGAAAGTAATATTTTAATGCTAATGGAAAAGTGAGTTTCAACATAAGCAACAAAAACTTGAAAGGTAGAAAAGAGTTCAGCTTTGGAACGGAGAAAATACACCCACGTAAACAATTGTAATCATCAATGAATGTCACAACATACTTGTACTGAACATGTGAAAGAATAGTGCAAATACCCCAAACATCAATATAAATAATATCAAAACAGGTAGAAGCACGATCGCCATGATCAGGAAAAGTTAAAATTTTGCTTTTTACTGAGTTTACATGTAGCACAATCAGGAGACAGATTATTGAAATCTTTATTACCTAAATAATCGTGTTTTAAAAGATGAGTTAAAATAGTATAATTGAAATGTCCCAATTTCTTATACCAAACATTAGAGTTATTAGCTGCAACTATATAAGCAAAAGAAATAGTACTGATAATGGAAAGTTGGAGAGTAAACAGACACCCCATTTTAGGCCCATTCGCAATCATTTTCCCCAACGCTTGATCCCGCACGAGACAACCATCATGACCAAAATGAACGTTACAATTATTATCTACTAATTATCCAACAGAAATCAAACTTGTGGAAAAATCAGAAAATACAAGCAAATTGTTAAATGAAGGTCCAAATTTCCAATCGCAGTTATTGGTAGCTTACTACCGTTGGCTATTTCTATATGTTGTTTTCCCTTTTACTTATGAACATCATGTAAGCTATCCGTATTCCAGTCATATGGTTTAAAGTAGTAAAATCAACCAACCACGGAGAGGTGAGTAAATTTTTCTTACCTTGTAGTCCCAAAGTAGAGAATGCTGAGAAAATCACCTAATTCATTTGTTGTGTGTGAGTGGAGGAATTGCTTACAGAGTTCCGATCACCAACTAAGGTAAACTGAACATTAGAATGAAAAGCACGAGTCTGGTGATTCTGAGGTCGTACGAGATAGTCCTTAATGATGTATCCTTCTTGCATAATTACAGAATTTCTTATTACAATGCTTGGCAATATACCCAAACTCCTTGCTGTTGTAGCATTGCGGCTGAGATTAAGATTTTCCTCGTCCTTATGCAGCATAGGCTACATTAATAACCTCAGAGGATATTCATTGGAACCATTCCCAATTAGGTAGCAAGACACTGTTCTTCTCGTGATAGTTCTCCTAGACAGAAATCCAACGAAAGAACAGGATTGAGGTTGAGTAGACTAGCCCGAATAGTTTCGAATT